GAATTTGAATGAAAAATTTGAGAGAAGTGAAGGATGAAGGAGGCGGTGGAGAAGAATCAGTGAAAGGGTTTCTAAAGCTAAACCCTTAATATCTCATATTTTCTCCACTCTTTCCCAAAATACCCTTGCTCTTTCTTTGAAATTTCATCTAAGACCTTTCATTCTTTGCAAACACAAACTCATTCAAACTATTCTCCATGCAATTTCCTTACATTTCACTCCCCACTTTTCCTGCTAAAAAGGGGTAGAATGGTCATTGAGTCACAAAAGTAAGAATTCTCAAAAACTCAAGGGGAACATTCAGTCGAGTCTTCGCCACGACGAAGCTATTTTCTTCGCCCCGGTGAAAGCTCACAGCAGCTACACGGGGTTGTAGCACCTCATCGCCACGGCGAATATTCTTCTTCGCCCCGGCGAAGACTGTAACCTCAATATTTCGCCAAGTCTTACAATTTTCAGGGCAATCACTCAACCAAACCAAGACACCCTTTCAAACAAGGGTAAACCAAGCAATATTAACAACATACAGACTCAAATGAGGATAAATCAACAAACATTCAAGCCATTCATCAAATCTTAACTACGTATCTCAAGTGGGGTGTTACACTTTCTCATCCAAAAAATTTCAAAATACCACTTTTTCACCCAAAATTAATATTCCATTACTACTCAAAGCCGGTTTCAATGACAAAAATTATCTCTATCATTATCATTTGAATCTCTGATCTCCTCTCTACAAAACCCCTCTCACTCTGTCAATTGTCGGTCACCGCAAAGATATAGTTTTCTGTTTTTAGCTGATTTTCGGCTAATACTGATGGCGAATATTCAATCGGTTACCACCATTCGATTCACCGGCCTTCACTCTACAAAACCTCTCTTACCCTGACTCGTAGTTACTCGTCGAATGCCGGTTGAGAAAGTGAAGTGTATTTTGGGTATTAACAGAATATAAACTTTGGGTGGTTAAGGAAAACCTTGGGTGGAAAAAAGTCGTTTACTCTTTAGGGGGCGTTTGGGTCAGGAATGTTAGATTACTAGGAATGTTGGATCACTGGAAAGATAGATTACCTTGGAAGATTACTGAGAATCTTTAGAAAAATATGTTTGGTTAGTTGGTGGGTATGTTATATTAATATGTTTGGTTATGGGGAATAAATTGGTGGGTATGTTATTTAAATTACCAAATTGTCCTCTTTTCAAATATTAATATAATATCATTTTTATTATTAATTTTTTAATAATTTCTTTTAACCCCCAATATTTCAGATTTAGTTAAAACAACCCCGCTTATATAAAACTTTAATTTATTACGAAATCACCCCCATCACCTGCCGTCGCCTGCCGCCACTGCAGACCACTGCCGGAAGTCTCCGAAAGTCCCCATCAGCAACTAATCGTGACCAAGAGGCTTCGATATGGAAAACGGCCATATCAGGCCAGATCTATTTTGGCCATTTTCGGCCAGATCCTTGGCCATTATCAGCTAGATCTGGACGAGATCTGGCCTTTAACGGCCATGGACCTGGCCATTAGTGGCCAGATCTCGTCCAGATCTGGCCGATAATGGCAAGGGATTTGGCCTGATATGGCCGTTTTCGGCCATCAATATCGCCGAAAACAGCCATATCGAAGCCTCCCAGAGCCTCCCACCGAGTCTCGTTCTTTTTTAGGGACTCCGATGATTTTCCGGCGGCGGCCCATGGTGGTTGGCTGCTGTCAGCAGTGGTGGCTAGGTGGCAGTGGTGGTGGTGGTTGGGTGGCAGTGGTGGTCTGTAAATTATTTTAAATATAAGGGCATTATTGTCCAAAATTTTAATTAAACAGGGGTAAATTTGAAATAGGATATTAATGTAAATTTGTTTTAAAGTAGGGGTATTATTGTCCAAAATTTTATTAGTAGGGGTATTATTGTCCAAAATTTTATTAATAAGGGATAAAATTGTGACAAAAAAAGATAACACTGATAATCTCAGAATACCTAAGAAAATGGAGGTAATCAGATTACCTCCGATATTACCAATAGTAACCACTATTGGTATTTGAATATTACCGGTATTTTATATTACTTGACAACCAAACATGGTAATCAAGTAATATAAGATGACATTACCCTAATAATCCCCTATAACCCCTAACCAAACGCCCCCTTAGTATTATAGGAAATTATATTACTATTTCCGATGGGTGTTACAAGTAGTGGAAGAATTAAAGTTGAGCAACTGAAACAAACTGATAGCAAACTTGTAGTGAATTTGTCACTATATATAGCAAACTAGTAACAAAAAACTTCAGTAACCAAATTGCAGAACGAACCTAATTTCCTGAACGGAAAGAAGTTCTTCATACTTTTAGAAAGGGTTTGAAAGAAGGTTATTTGTGGATTTTTATCTCAATAGGGGAGTCTTATTAGAAAATGAATTATACAATTGATAAATGTACAAGGATTTCCAAGTAATCTGGAATTATAAAAGGAATTTTAACCTAGAAGAATTGTATCAATCCATGTAGAATCCAAGGATCAAACACTAAAGAGAGACTATTCTTATAATGGATAAGTCATTACAACCTCCATAAAGAGATAGATATCATCATTCAAGAGACTATCAGTCAGGTTGTGTAGAGAGCATCCGACTACACAGAATGAGTGACCGTAAATCTCTATAAGAGCTTGATTGTGTGAGCCAATAGAGATCTTTGTTAATGAAAAGATATTAGTATTCTCATCTTATCGTATTATACTCCATTGACTTATATAAGAAAGAAATTCCATTAGTGACATGTAGTAGATACAATTCAATTTTGGAGGAATCTGTTGAGATTTCATCAATATTTCTTGAATATTTCAGGATCTTCTTATTTTGTCAGTTTTAGAATACTTATAATGTTCTTGATATCCTATAATCTCCTAATTACGTCTGTATATTGTAATTGACATAATTAGGAAATTCCGTGTATTGTATCCTCCCTATATAAAGCATGTAATTCTTACTGAAATATCAATAAATTGAAATATACAATTCTTCAATTAAACATGTTATTAGGAAAATTCTATAAATCATTCTCGTGTTTTATTTTATGTTATTTTCTTATTGTTTGTATATGTTGTTTGTCAAGTGAAAAAAAAATAATAATAATAATAATAAAAAAATAACTGATCTTGTCATCATTTTTTTTTTATTACTTAAGGTATTCAGGTCAACTTACGTGCACCTTAAAAAAAAAATTGATCTTATCAATTATTATTATTATTTTTTTTTTTTGTGACCTGAGGTGGTTAGGCTACTTATGCGCATTTCAACTAATTCTTCGAGATCTTAAAGTTGATGATTAAACAAATTTATCTATTAGGGCTTTGGAGATTCAAACTCAGAAACTTTTAAAATCTTATTTTATTCTTTTACCATCAAGCAAGCGAGCAGTGGTTGTGATTTTGTCATCTTGTTGCTTAGTTTCCACAGCATAATTTGACTACAAATTGACATTTTCCAATATCAATTTTAAAATAGCGGAGAAAAAAATAAAGAAAAACCACGTGCAACATAAAGGGATTTGTCTTTACTGACTAAAAATAAGCAGCCACCGTACTTTAGACCAATTTAAAGCTATATAAAGACCGAAATCTGCTTCTGTTCTCTGTGTAACATTCATTGCATGTCCAAGTGAAAGTGAAGGGATCCGCCACTTTTCTAGAATTTTGAAGGATAAGACTGGCTACATTCGTCAGGATTTATAGTCAAATTCCACAATGGAAAACAGAGGCCAAGATGGAAGAAATTTGGTGACGATGGTTATCACATATGGATTTTTTTTCCTCACAAATTGACAATATTTATAAATTTCACATAATTAGAAAAAAAAAATCTCAATATTTACAAGTAATTAATAAAAACACTATTATGAGGATATATATGGCTGAAATTTTTGTTACAGATATATCATTCTCTTTTACAGGCGTCTTGATTTTTTCTAAAACCTGTAAACTTAAGTATGTTTCTTACTTGAAAATTTTATATAGATATTATCTATATTAACTTTTGTTATTTAATTTTAATATTTTATGCAGAGGAAAAATGGGGATTAGGAAGGATGAGAAGAGGTGTAGTTATTGCAAATTAAGTATAAAGATCCTGCCTTATTCATTTTGTCTAACATTTTTTTTTTTTTTTTTTTGACCTGAGTGTCCGAACTAACTTGCGCATATCTTAACTAATCATCGGAGTATATTAAACACCCAACAAACCTAATATTCCAAAGTAAACCACAAATGTGGTAGGTGATCCCAAAGTGGTTTGAACCCAATAAGTCAATGAAATGAGCAAATCTTTTTAACCATCAAATCAACCTGTGGGGGGTTTTTTGTCCAACATTTTGAACCAGTTGAGCTGAAGTGTTGCCACTACATAGAAGGAATCTATGAATTTTCCATTTTGCATAGATAAAATGAAAAGTATAGAAAATAATTGAGGATGTAATTATTGTTCATCTATAAAATTCTTCACTAGGACTATTTATTCATATTCAATTTTTTCTTGATTATAAACTGATGTTCTCAAAGGGGTAGAGTAGAAAAATTTCATATTATCTCCCTTTTTCTTTGTTAAATTGTTGTTCGAGAATTCTCAGTAAATAGGTTTGCACTTTTATAGAATTTGGTCATTGAATCTTGGAGCTATTTCCGTTGTAAATTAGGGATGTTCAAAACTGGTTAACCGATTTTGCGAATCAAACTAGTTTTTTAGTTCAAAAATTTTCTTGACCGAAACCGAATCAGTTAAGGGGAAAATCGGTTTTAATTTAATAATTTATATATTATTTTAATTTAATATATTTTATAATAAACCGGTTAGTAAAACAAGTTTCGATTAACCATTTCCCATATTCTCCAAAACCGGTAACAGAACCAAAAATTTGGTTTTTTAATTTCTTTGAATCGAAATTGAACCGGGTTGGTTCGGTTTTTACATTTTTTTTAAACACTCCTATTGTAAACCATAACCTTAATAAGTTTAAAATAAACTATTTTATTTGACATGATTCCTGTTATTCTCAACATCAAAATACAATATCCATCATAATTATCAGCATTCTTATAGATTACTGAACAAAATCATTGACTAGACTTCACTTGAGAAATAAATCTCTCAAAATTTTTGAATGAAGATCCACCTTCGACAAGACTTTTTCTAGCCATTTCCTTGATCTTCAATGAATTTGATTTGATACCATCATCACTGATAAGTTTTCTCACCTTTCTTTGTATTTCATGCCTTGTAACAATCCCATTTTCATCCGGGGTTAAATCTAAACCAATCTTCCAGACTTCACAAATGAATCTTCTATTTTGATATTGATCCGCGAAGTAAGGCCAACACAGAAATGGTACTCCCATGCTTAATCCTTCCGTAGTAGAATTCCATCCGCAATGACTTAAGAAACAAGCAACTGAAGAATGAGCTAACACCTTTTCTTGAGCTGCCCATTCAACGATCTTTCCTCGACCGGCAAGTTTCTCTTTAAAACCATTTGGGAACCTGGTTAGCGATTCATTCACAAGGTTTGATCGAACAACCCACAGAAATGGTTGGCCTGAGGATTCAAGACCGAGCGCCAATTCCTCAAATTGTTGCTGATTTAAGGTGGTTGTGCTGCCCAATGCAACATAAATGACTGAACCTACTGCTTGCTTCAAGCCACCTAAGCAAGATGAGTCCTCAGGAATTAAGCTTCCAGCCGAATTTCCAGACTGATTACTTGCAAGTAATGGGCCAATGGGTAAGACTTTTGGAACCAAATCACAGTTCGGCGAGTCAAGTTCATAAATTGAGTTGGAAAGAACCCTTGGAAATTCTGACAGTTTCCGCGGCAGCACAAGTATTTCAAGGAAAATCTTTTGTATCATTGGTTCTTCTGGACAGCTCCAATTGAATTCGTTTTTTTCCAGGGATGAGTTTCCTCTGATATCGATATCCACTCATCAGTCATTGGCATTGCATTCCTACATCAAATTCAATTAGTTATAAGATACCAAACTACATAAAATTAAATTCAGTCAATTATATACTCACCATCATTATCTATAATTCCAGCATCAATAATCTTTTTACATGAAATGAAACGGCCAAGGTTGGTGGTCCATAAGGAACAATGCAGCTCGTGGGATTCCCATTTCGTGGGCGAGTTCCGAGCCCATCCGAGACAAATATCAGCAATAACACAAGTGATGGCTCACATTCATCAGATTGGTTTACTTCTTGATCAGCTCCTTCAAATGACCTGGCATGACTCTGAACATACAATCTTTAGTCTTAAACGGATCATTTCGATCATCGGTTCGATTCCTGGAATCGAAACAAACCTTATCAGGCCCCTTTCTCAGCTTTCTCCGGCATCGTAGCCATGATTTTGGCCGCGTTGAACTCTGTTTACAAAGGTGACCTTGATTCCATGTTCAGCAATCTTTGATGCCAATTTCAGAGAGGTGAACATGACCTTGTGCTGGTATGGAATAAGCAGTAAATGAGGTTCCTCACCATTTTAAGACTTTTGTTACCCTGACTATATGATATGTATCCAATTCCGAGTATTAAATAAAAACGGGTCAGTCATTCTCTTTGCATCAGCATTTAGTCTTTGTGGTGACGTAATTGGCATTTACTGATACCTAAACACTCATGGAACTTGCCAATATGTTTATTTTTGCCACTTTTTACCGCGTTTTATTCCTTTATAATATTTTTCTCATATGCTAGGCAACAATCCACTCCATCCATTACAAAGCAATGATGTAAGTAACTTCACCTCCCGCTAAGTACAACAACAAGTTGTAATAAATACAAGAATTTATCTGTTTATATTTTACAGGTGCCTCTTGAGAGCAATAATTTTGCTCAGCAAGAATTCTACCACAAATTTGAAATTAAAAAGGGACCACCATGTGATATGTGATAGAATTGGGAACCACTACAACATAAGAGTTCGCTTATAAGGGCGATGCATATGGGTTTTACTACAGGATTCAATGTAAGCTGTTTGTGTTAATACCATGAATAGCCATTATAGGAACGACTGCTAATAGAGTTTGGCTTAGAAATAAGAATCCTAATAATTTAAGGTTTCTCTTTATAATATATTATATAAACATAATTCTCTTGTATGAGTGATATAGAAAATTAAACAAATACATTTATTATAATAAAGAGGTAAGGAAATATGTATAATATTAACTTTGTTAGACATATACCAAGATAAATCACGTATGTTTATTTCTCTTATTTATTGCGTAATTTGTGTAATAGTTTATTTTATTTGATCCAAACACTCTTTATCTTTGGATATGCCTCTCCAAATTCATTTGTTATTCATTTTGTTATTTTATGGTGGTTTATTTATTATTAAATTATTTAAATGACTGTACAATCATTGAATGTAGAATAAAACAGTAAATGATATAATTTGGAATCAATTGTTTTAATAGATTTTAATCCAGGCATTCTTACAGAATATGTAACAAAGTAATTATAGATTTCACGTGAACAATAAATCTCTTAAAATTATTGAAAGAAGATCCACCTTCAAAAAGACTTCTCCTAGCCCTTTCCTTCAGCTTCAATGAATTTGTTTTGGTACCATCATCACTGAGCAGTTTTGTCCCTTCTTTGTATCTCTTGTCTTGTAACTATTCCATTTCATCGGGGGTTAATTCTAAACCAATCTTCCAACCTTCACAATATAATTTTTATTCTGATATGATCCCCGAAGTAAGGCCAACAAAGAAAAGGACCTCCCATGCTCAAACCTTCCAGAGTTGAATTCCATCCGCAATGACTTACAAAACAGCAACAGAAGATTTAGCTAAAACCTTTTCTTGAGGTGCCCATTCAACAATTTTTCCTCGTCCATCTATTCTCTCTTTGAAACCATCTGGGAATCTGGCCAGTGATTCAACACAAGATCCGATCGAACAACCCACAGAAATGGTGGCCTAAGAATTCAAGACCAAGAGCTAATTCTTCAAATTGCTGCTGATTTAAGATTGTTGTGCTGCCCAATGAAACATAAATGACTGAGCCTGTCGGTTGTATTAGCCGCTTAACAGTTGAGTCCCTCAGGCATTAAGCTTCCAGAAAAACTTCCTGAACTATTACTTGCTAGTAATGGACCAATTGGTAAGATGTTGGAAATTAGATCACAGGATGATGAGTCAAGTTCATAAAATGTATTGGAAAGAACCCAGATGGAAATTCTGACATTTTGGATATTAGCACAAGCAAAATCAAAGAAAATCTTTTGTAACGTCAAATCATCTGGACAGCTCCATGCGAGTTCGTTAGCTTTCCAGGGAAGAATCTCTTCTGATATCGAGATCAACTCGTCAGTCATTGCAGTTCCTACATCAAATTCAATTAATAATTAGTACCAAGTTATAAACTAGCAGCTACTTTGTTGAAATGAATAGTTTGATTTCTGAATGATACATACTCCTTTGAACTTACCATTAGAATCTATAGCTCCAGCTTCAACGAGATTTGGAATACGAAGTGTCAGGGCCAAGTTCCCTGGTGCATAAGGTAAAACTGCAGCCCGAGGAATGTCCATTTTCTGAGCAAGTTCCAGTGCCCATCCAAAACATATATCAGCTCTGACGCATGTGATATGTTCACAGTCACTTGATTTGTTGATATTCTCAATCAGGGTCTCCAAATGACCTGGCATAACTCTTAACATAGTATCTCTAGTTTTTATATAATCGTTTTGATCATCGCCTTGTTTGTGTCCATCTGGAATCGAAACTAGCCTTATCATGCCCCACTCAACTTTCTCTGGCATTGAAGCCATGATTTTCGCCTCGATAAACTCTGTGTTAACAAAGGTGACCTTGATCAGTTGATCCCACATTCAGCAATCTTTGTTGCCAATTTCAGAAGAGGTGTAACATGGCCTTGTACAGGATATGGAATAACCAGAACATGCGGTTGCTTGCCCATTTCAAGATAGCTGTGTTGCTGATATCCCAATCTTTATAGTTTAATTTCTGGCTCTTTCTATCAGCACTGGTTTTTGTGATCATGATGTAATTGGCACGTAATTTGTGTCTAAAAACTAATAGAAATGTCCATTCTGGTTTGTTTTCAGCCTTCTGTTTTTCCCTGTTTGTTCTTTTATTTGTATTTTATTATCAGAATGCAACCCATTTAAAACAAATCCATCTCCTTCACACAAGGCCGGCTCAAGGGGTAGGCAGGTGAGGCACCTGCCTAGGGCCCCCAAAAAATAGTGTCAAAAAGGGCCAAATTTCTTATAATTTTTTTTTAAATATATTACAAAAATAAAAATATTGTATAATTTCTTATCTAGGCAATCCAAGGGGCCCCCCAAAAAAACCAAAAGTCCTAAATTCATTATAAACTTTTTACATATATTCTCACCCAAAATTTGACAAAATATCAAGTTTGTACCTCTAGTTTCATATATTCTAATTTACATGCCTAAATTAACACATTGAATTTCTTTTAACAATGAAATGATAAAATGGTCATTTACATGTCTCAAATTACTCACCCCCAATTCAATCCCAAAATTCGACATTCACATAAATCATCTCCACCTCTCTTCCGCCGCTGGCCGTTTAGAGTTGATTCTGGTCAATTTTCTCACTAAAATCGACCGAAACAATCACTTTATCATTTTCCAAGTGTTTTCCCAGCCTTGATAGCCCTTGATTTGACTACTTTTTTACGAATCTCGCAACCTAGCTCCACCGCATGCAATAGCCATTTCCGGCCTTTTCGGCATGTACCTGGCATCGTTGGCCTTCCCCAACAACACCATCTTCCTTCCTTCAACCTACTCACCAAAACCCCTATCATACCTCATCCGTTTACTCCGCCATAGCCAGCCACTGATACCTTTTGGGCTGCGACTTCTCAAGTCTTTTCCGGTCAATCCTAGCATTAGAAATCACCCATTTCACTACCCATCACTTCTCCAGTATCTGCTCTCCAAAACCCCCCACCAATCTAACCTCGTTAGCTCGCCAGTCGTCGTCTACCTCTCTTAGTAATTTTACATCTCAAAAGGCAAGAAAAAATAAATTTAAAATAATTTTTTTAATATATACTTTTATTATTAGAAGGCCTCCAAAGTAACTTTTGTCTAGGGTTACAAATGTTCTTGAGATAACCCTGCCTTCACATTACGTATACAAAAGCTGTTGAGCTTGGTTTCCTCATGCTGAGGATGACCCAAAATCCTAAAGCCCAAAAATAAAATAAAGAAAAAATAAATTTAAAAAAGAAGGAGTAGCGCTTGAGTTCCTTTTTTTAGTGGGTGAACAGTGTGAAAAAACTAAGATACTGTTCACAGGTTAAAAATCCGCTGAAGTGAGAGAGAGGCAGTTACACCAAGTTATTTCGGCGACGATCTAACGGTGAATCTTACTCCATTTTTGCTCAAATTTCAAAGAGTTGTTGTTGACGGCAAGATCTTCACATCCAACGGTCAGTTTCTTAATAGCCATTTTTTTAATGAAGTTTTACCTCTAGAAAGATAGTCAAATCAAAGAGTTTGAGTTATAGAATATCGGTCCGTCTGTCCTTCTTAAGCCTGACGATCGGAAGGTCATCTCTAATCTGATCAACCTGATTTTTTGTCAGAACGTAGAAGACGTTTGACTCTTCAATCTGGATAGTTGGTTTTCAATTTTAGTCGCTGAGTGTGGAGTTTACAGCCTGCATTTTGGGTGCTTTGTGATTTTACTCCGTCTTTTCGTAACTTTTTTGTGTATTTCACTTTGTTAAAGTTGTGATAAAGCTCTAAATTTGTGTGGAATATTGTTAGTGAATTGTGGCTATTATAAACACTTTTTTTATTATAGTGGGTTTAAGTGGATCATTCGATCCCGTGGTTTTTCAATCTCTTCACATTGAAGAGGTTTTTTCACGTAAAATTATTTGTATATCTTATAAATTTGATTGTTATTTTCAAGCATATTTGCTCGAAGGTTCATTTAATTAGAAAATATTTTGTTAGTGAATTATTTTCTTTCAAAAGCATTGCTGAAAAGCTGTTGGAGGAATCAAGAGGCTAGATATACCTAGGCCTAGTTGCGGCTATTAACATCCAGGTAAAGAATATATTCCTTGATACAATCCAAGTATTACATTCAAATAATTAAACATGTACTGATCACAGAATACAGAAAATACAATATTTTCTTGAAGAAGGTTAGCTTAGCACAAATTTAAATAGATGGGGATCGATTTGGGTGATAAATCTATATTCGATTTTAGCATTTGTTTTAATTTATCTTCAATTCTTTTACTTATATATCAGTACTATATATTAAGATTAGTTTTATCTTGTTCTCAAGGTTATTTACTCCAGTATAAACAAGTAGCTTTATTTGTAACCATCATTTTTTTTTGTCTTTCACTTATTGGTTTGCATTCAACAAGATGAACTCCATACTTTACTAATCAATGGAATATCTATTATTATATCGGAATTTTCAACATTGAAATTAACTAGACTTCATCTGAACAATAAATTTCTGAAAATTATTGAATGAAGATCCACCTTCAACAAGACTCCTTCTAGCCATTTCCTTCAGCTTCACTGAATTTGCTTTGATATCATCATCACTGAGCAGTTTTTTCACCTTTCTTTGTATTTCATGCCTTGTGACTACCCCATTTTCGTCTGGGGTTAATTCTAAACCAATCTTCCAACCTTCACATATATAATTTTTATTCTGATATTGATCCCCGAAATAAGGCCAACAAAGAAAAGGAACTCCCATGCTTAAACCTTCCATAGTTGAATTCCATCCGCAATGACTTAAGAAACAAGCAACAGAAGAATTAGCTAATACCTTCTCTTGAGGTGCCCATTCAACAATCTTTCCTCGACTGCCTATTCTCTCTTTAAATCCATCTGGGAACCCGGGGAACGATTCAGTCACAAGGTCTGATCGAACGACCCACAGAAATGGTTGACATGAGGATTCAAGACCAAGAGCTAATTCATCAAACTGTTGCTGATTTAAGGTTGTTATGCTGCCCAATGCAACATAAATGACTGAACCCATCGGTTGTTTATCAAGCCAGCTTAAGCATGTGGAGTCCTCAGGCCTCAAGCTGCCGGCAAAATGTCCTGAATGATTACTTACTAGTAATGGACCAATTGGTAAGATGCTGGGAACCAAATCACAGGATGATGAGTCAAGTTCATAAAATGAATTGGAAAGAACCCAGTTGGAAATCCTCACAGTTTGAGCAACAGCAGTGGCAAATTCAAAGAACAACTTTTCTATATTCGAATCAACCGGGAAACTCCATGGGAACTCTTTACCGTTCCAGGCTAGAGATTCTTCAGATAATGAGATCAACCCATCATTCAACGCAGTCCCTAAATCAAATTCAATTAATCATATAAGTACCTAACTATTTATGAATCAAATTGAAGTAATTTATACTTACCATTAGTATCTATAAGTCCTGCCTCCAGAAGCTTCGGAATGTGAAGTGCCAGAACCAAGCATGCTGGTCCATAAGGTATAACCACAGCCCTCGGAATTCCCATGCTTTGGGCAACTTCCAGTGCCCATTTAACAGATATATCAGCAATGACACATGTGATCTGCTCACTGTCACTTGATTTGTTGATCTTCTCAATCAAGTCCTTCAAGTGACCTGGCATGACTCTAAACATACTATTTCTAGCCTTAATAAAATCGTTCCGATCATCTCCCTCTTCAAGTCCATCTGGAAATGAAACCAGCCTCACCGGGCTCAACTCCTCAGCTTTGTCTGGAGTTGAAGCCATGATTTTCGCATGAATAAACTCAGTGTTAACAAAGGTGACCTTGATTCCATGTTTGGCAATCTTTGTTGCCAATTTCAAAAGAGGTGCAACATGGCCTTGTGCAGGATATGGAATAACCACTACATGCGGTTGCTTGCCCATTGCAAGATAGCTAGATTCACTTCCACCAAACTATATGCTAATTCTTAATATCCGAACCTACACTTCGCTTCTGGCTCTTTTTATCAGCACTTTTTGTGACCAAGATGTAATTGGCATGTACTTTGTATCCAAATATTAATTGAATTGTCCATTACGGTTTGTTTTCACCTTTAGTTTTTTCCATGTTTGATCTTTTTTCTTTGTATTTTACTTTCAAAGTTTTTCCATGTTTGATCTTTTTTCTTTGTATTTTACTTTCAGAACGGCAGCTACAAATCCATCTCCATCACATTACAAAAGCATTGCTGAAACAAATCCATCTAATCAGTCAGAGCCAAGTTCTGATAAACTTTTGGAGGAAGCAAGAGGCCTGGTTGCCGGGTAAAGAATATATTCCTTGAATATAATCCAAGCATTATATTTAAGGAATATATTTTTAAATATGGAGTAACATTACTTTTAAATATACATCTACTTATCACTGAATATAAAAGTACGCTATTTTCTTGAAGGAGGTTAGCTCAGCAATAGTTTGGACCACAAATTTAAAAACTGATGGGGGACCAATTTAAGTGATATATCATTCTCTAGCTTATTATCTCCATATAAACAAATATCTTTATTTGTAACCACAAACTCTTTTTTCTTTGAGTTATTTCAATTTGCATTCAACAAGATGAACTCCACTTTTTATTAGAATCAACAGAACATTTATCATTATTTCAGAATTTTGAACATTATCATTAACTAGACGTCATTTCAACAATAAATCTCTCCAAATTTCTGAATGAAGATCCACCTTCAACAAGACTCCTTCTGGCCATGTCCTTCAGCTTCAATGTTTTTCCTTTGATACCTTCATCACTGAGCAATTTTGTGACCTTTGTCTGTATTTCA